CTTGCCTGTGTCTATGTCTGTGTGCTTGTCACAGTGTGTTTGCGTGTGTAGTTGCAATGTTTGTAAGTGAGTTTGCTGCCGATTTGGTCAAGGAGCGCTTGATTTTGGCGCAGAAAGAGCTTGGTGTTTGGAAGAGTGTCAGTTGCATTTCCCTGGTGCCTGCCAGCCGTCCAGGAAACTTGTGGAGGCAAGGGACGCACCCGTCCTTTGGACCTTCATCCACTTTGATGTGCGTGAGCCCAACAGGGCCCGCAGCAAGTCGGTTTAATCAGTTGAGAACACGTGATTCGCTTGAGTCTGAACAAAAGATTCTGGCTCCAAATGGTGCCATCGCGGGCGTGGAATTCAGTGTGCCGGCCCATTCAAGGCCACCAGATTGTCCGAGCTCAGTCCACTCCGGTTGGCCAGCAAAGTGCCGGACGCCCGTTGTTTCTTTCAGCTCAAAAAGCCGGAACACTCTTTGTGCATTACGTCAACATCCTGACTATCCCGTGAGTTGTTCATGGCTTGGGGATGTTTGGCTTGGTGTCTATTTTCACATGGGGGTAGGCAGATGTGGGTCAAAGGGAAAAAGTACACGCACAGCGCCCGCAGGCCGTGGCTATTGGTCAACGTAGGGGCGAAAACGAACACGACAGTTGCACAGCACCAATTGCACTTCACACTTCTACCAATCTCTTACTTTGAACTTGCAGGAGCACAGGGCAAGATTACACCGCTAGACAGAAGTTAGAGCTCCCCTTTCGGCCGGCGAGGCAACTAGGCAGAAGCAAATTTCTGAATGGTGTCCTGCGGCAGTGCTTTTTCCTCTTGACTTTCCGTTGCCAGAGCATGCATGGTTGTGTGAGATTTGCGGGCTCCTGCTTGCAGTGTTGATCGGTTCACCGGGTGACGTGGGCTGTGCGCTGGCACCTTGTCGCATGAAGGAGCCAAGAGCCAGTTTTGGCTTCGGCTCGTTTTCCTCAAAGCGAGGGTTACCGTCCTTGCTATATATTTGAATCTTTGCATTGCCATTTGTGTTCATATAGAAGGCTTGTTGATCCTGGCAAGGCTGGAGGAAGGTAGTCAAAACGTTGCAGTCAGAGACTGGGCGTCTATGTGGCAGTTGCATGCTGCAGTCCATAACCACGAATGAAAGGCTTCTCAAGCGCTTCATGTCAATGTTGTTTGGAGCAGGTTAACCTGACATGCCTACCCTAGACAACGAGCTTGATGTAGATGTAAAGGCCTTCAAATCATTCTCAGGTCAAGGGCTAGTCATTGGCTCGTGCTACACAGAATTGATAGGGCAAGCAAGAGTTGATGTGTCCCAATTCCCGCAGGAAAGGCCGAGCATATAATTTATTTTAATATTTTGGAATCACAACTCAAGGCTGGTTGGCGGGATTGCTGACAGGATTTTCAGATTGCAAGCAACCGACTTAGGCTGTTTGTGTGTAACTTTGGGAAGTACCCAGCATGCTCATGGATCATCGTGAGACTGCACGCATCGGCAACAGCCTTTGATACATTTCAGGCATGAAGCTAATGTTGAAACAACACTGCCAAAGTAGCCTATGCTGAAGGTGAACCCCAGGACTGTTTGCATGCAACGATCAAAATCTCTCGGCTGCCGCTGAGAGTAGCCCGCGAGGAGTCTAGCAAGGCAGACTTCGAGAAAACACCCAGATTCGGTTTGGCTGTTCCTCTCAACTTTCCCGAAAGCAATTCCTTATCAGTCCATGTTTGAACCCGAGTCCGGCTTCTCGACTCCTTGCCAAAAGGTTGCCGAAATGTGCATCGCTCAATCGTTATGCCTGTTTGGGGCAGAGACACAGGGGCATCAAGTGCTGTATGCATGCCTGGAAGCCGGAAATGCTTGCCTTGATCGATGTCATGTATTTTGTTACTTGAGTGCGGGTTTTGGTCACAACTTGTAATTATCACTCATTGACATGATAGCAATTATGATGCATGACTTATGAATCTGGCGGGCGACGTCAAGAAATCACCACCCTGCTCGAGGTTTCACAGCTAAACTTGCAATTAAGCCAGAATCCGAAAATTGGCAAACCCAGCCAGTACACATGTTGCTGCAGGCTCAACCATGAAGCGAAACATACTCAGAGAACGATGGCAAGTATCCTCTTTTCGAACAAGGAGCGAACTTCTCAAACAGACAAAGCCACACCATCACAAGGCATAGCGATCAACATTTGCTTCATCGACTGGTATGAACCAGTCTGTAGTCATTTCCGTGTGCTGATGAAAAACATGCATCGATGGGCACGGTATGCGGATGACAAGTGTACTCGGGAGAGCACCAACCCATAGCCAGGCACATCAATGAGGTTACGGCACATCGTGCAGAATGCCAAGTAGCTACCAACGTCAATGCTTTTGTGACAGGTGCTAGCCCGCCAGCGCGCTCATGCTAGCAGCCCCGTCCAAGCTGCATCAGCTTCATGGCGCATCTTCTATTGCGTGCGACTCCGCTTGTGTACGTATGACTGCCAATTGGCTTGGTCATCCTCAATCAACATACCACACGCAGGTGAGCTTCTGGCTTAATCTCGACAACGCACACTTGTTTGGCCGACACGTGCTGTGATGCTTCAGCGTCCCACCGAGTCAGCATGATATGTTCAGCACACCAAACCAACGACAAACCAATGAGTGGCAGTTCTCTTGTTAAAGGTTGCGCATTTTGCACATGCGCAAAAACTTCACGAAGGGAATGATCCAGTGCTGCTGCTTTAGACGCTGCGGAACTGCCAAAGGAGCGCCTGCCTGCCCAGAGGATGCGTGCCAGCTCGCTGCCTGATGTTTGTACCTGAATGGCTCATCTGCCGACATGGCGGTTACCAGCTTGCGATCGGAGGTGCCTTACCAGGCCAGTCGGACAACCGCCGCCACTGTGTGTGCCGCGCTCAAAGCGCCCCGCCCCAACAAGGCCGAGGCGCGCCTCTCGCAAAGCACGCCATCCGCGTCTTTCTCCACCTTCCTAGGCGCTCCTTCCAGGGTGCTTCAGCAATCTTCGGGAGCTGAAGGTATTTGCTCGGAGCCGCCCACCGCTGAAGGGGCTTCCTCGACTTCTTGCTTCGCTGCCTCCCTACGCGCAGCCCTTTCCTTTCCACTGCACCATGGGAGAATGCATTTGCATGGCGTCGATAAACTAGTGACCAGCAAGGGCGGGCGCAGTTTGCTGGCTAGCCACGCCCGCCCTCCTGAGACTTCTGACTTTTGGCCTACACCAAAAGTGATTCATGGTCTTGCCTTTCTTTCCTGTTGCCCCTCTGGCTGGGCTCTTCGTCGGACGGCTCGTGACAACCGCAGGATGTGTCCAATTTCCCGTTTGGTGAGTAGCATTCTGGACCAGTAGCTATCGCCTGATATTCTTGACATATTGTCTCTTGCGGAAGGAAGGAGTTTCATATCTGATTCTGCGGACTTGATAGTGATGCTAGAGAGGACCCACTGGATGCACAAGAAGATTCCTGACGGCAGACTAGATTCTTCTTTGACGTCTATCGCCAATGGTTCTTGCAGCAATTGATTGGTACTGGGGCAAAGCGGTCCTGCCCTATTCAAAGAGCTGCTTGGCAAGCCATAGAAGTTTACGACAAAGGCTATGTCGGTGTGGCATTTGTTCACAACAAGGGCTGTTCAGGTTATGTTTGGTAGGCCTACAGCAACGCAAGCCTAGCCAATGTTTGCAAACTCGAGACCATATACAAAGACGCGAAACGTGCAAGTCACCCCCTACCTGCGCGCCCGGGAGAAATAAAGAATATTTCTGTTGTTTGACCACTTGCAGAAGATAGAGTCCAAGAGGCAGCTCAAGTTGCGCAGTCTTGGGATCAATACCCATGTGCCTCTTGCCAAGACATCTTAATGAAACTTGATGCTTAGCCAAGCACCTGCACTCCGGTTTCCAAGCAAGCTATATCAGATTGCCAGAAAGCGTGCCTGCGCAGCCTCTGCTGCTTGCTCCTGACTATTGTATTGCTCAATGGCATGACTGATGTTGAACGAATTGTGCTGATCGGTGTGATGCCTGACTTCACACCGTCTTCCATTTTCAGTCGTTCACAGGTGTCAAAATTGATTATTCAAGGGTGTTTGCTGTGAGGTTGCTGCAAACGCAGGTTGAATTTCAGGAAGGGCGTTCAGAGTGACATGTTCGAGATTGCAGATGGAGCTTTGCCGCAGGTTGCAGTCAGCTGCTTCTGGCGACTTGTTGCTGCATTTTTTTCATGAACACGTAGGCTTTCCTGGCAGATTGATAAAATTGGAATGCCAGGGTTGTGTGGTGGGCAAGGTCAGCCTGCCAATCGATACATACAAGCGTTCCGCGTCATGCGGAGTGGCTTTCGGCCATATCCAAAGCGCTTACGGAGTCTGTACGATCTAGTTCTGTCGGCCTCGACTGCTCGCAAGGCACCAATCCAGCAATCAAATAATGTCAACCCCATGTGTATCAGGTATGAGTCGGGATGAGGTTTTACCTTGCGAATGTGTTCCTCTCATGCCTTTCGCCGTCCCAAAGTGAAGTCTGGGCGGGTGAAAGGGTGGCCGTGAGAAAGAGATAACACGGCCTATGCCATCACCTGACTAAGAAGAAAAGCAGGTGATGGGAGAAGGAATACTGTAGATAGGTTGTGAGCAAGATATTTCATGAACACAGGCTAACTCTCGATCTCTAGCTCTCGCCTAAGAAAGAAGTTGGCGAGAGACACCTTCCTACACTCGTTGTAGGCTGCAAGTGTCGTGGTAGCTGGTAGGCGCGAGGGCAAGCGCATAAAGCCGATGCGCCGATGTGCAAGAGAGCAAAAAATGGCATGTGCCTGCACACTATGTTTGGAGATGCCACGGCTTAAGGCAGTGTTGTGACAGAGCTTCAGTACTGCCTGTGTGCTCCATTCGGGTAGCAGGGCAATGCCCCGATCAACGGTGGAATGTGTTTTTTTGTATTGTAGCATGTTGTAGCAGGGCGCTGGAACTCATGAATGCGAACGCAGGCGTCCATGCTTGGCTACCACGAGCTCATGTTCCCTTTGGCGCAGACGCTGCGAAACATCATCACCCACCAGGCCGCTGTCGGAATATGCCGGGTTGTGTTGCAGGCGCCGCACGAAAGCAGAAGAAAGATCCAGCTGTTGCGCTGACAGATGGTTGCACCCAAGACAGGCATGGTTGGGATTGATTTGCACTGAACTGAACATGTTTCAAGTGATGATATTTGCAGAGAACTCTTTTGGTGGTTTCCGTCAACTAGACACTTGAACTATAGGTTTGCTGCTGACTCGCAACCGGGCATGAAGAAGCCAAACCTCAATTGTCGCGCCTTGCCAGAACCTGCAATTCCCTGTTTCACTCTTCGAGATCACCTTGCTGGAGGCAGGGTTTGGCCGCGCAGTGATTCCCTGTGCCATGAACATGGCGCCGACAAAACGTGGATGGAAACGGACCTTCGTCCCAGTCGCAGCGTGCCTTGAGGCCTCCAGCACAGCGCATCGCGCGCCTGCACATGCTCAGAACCAGATGGTCTCATTGTGCGGACCCTAGGTTGACCGTCTTTGCTTCCAGTGCTGCTTGGCCCTTCTCGGTGTGTCCCCGAAAGGGTGCAAAATGCAAGCGTGGAGATGATTTTGCGGGTATTCACAAATGGCGGGTCAAGTTTAATTCATAGTTGGCAAGTGCGTAGCCGTGTAGCTAGAGTCATCATGGTTAACACCCCTGTCAGTCTTTCAATTGTGAAAATGGTTTGCCAAACCGCGCACACCATGCCAGACCATGGTTGTCAGTGTTGGCGGAATGATGCAGATCCGAACATTTACCCAAGATCCTCTAAAGCAGAATAATAGCACTTCCAGCGGCAATGTGCCAGGATGGGAAATCCGGAGCTCCCAGCCCACATCCGGCAAGCCTGCAGCTGCCTAAAATCGTGTGTGTGTGTGTGTGTGTGTGTGTGGTGCTTGCGTGAGTGTGTGTTTGTGTCTGTGTGTTTGTGTGTCTGTGTGAGCGCCATATCGCCGAGGTGAAGGGCAGGTGGCAGCCATTGAGCAAAGGGTCTGGAGCTTGATCCTGTGTTGCTTTAGCCGTCGGAACAAGGAAGTCGCCTATGAGGATGCTGATGAGTTTCTTGATGTCTAATTCCTAGCATTGACTGGTTTGGCAATGAGCACTATGTATATAAATATATGTTTTCATGTACACAAGTGCAAACCTTTGTAGATCTTCTCCAAAAGTAGTTCCTTTGTGGAGAAGTCGAACTTTGCATGCGTTTGCAGCAGCTGCGTCTTCTCAATGTCTCAAACTCCAAGACTGCAGCTGATGAGTGGCCAGCTGGGGCCTGGCGCATAGTCGAATGTCACCGAGTTGTGGGTTGCTGAACTTTGCACTTGTTGGTTGAACAAGGACACCAACGTGTGAAGTAATCCTTGCCAGACAGCGCAATGGAGAAGTGCCGCTGGAGGGCTGGAATACGTCCCCTGTATGGTGCAGGCCTTTGGCCATCAAATCGACCTTATTTGTATTGAATCGGAACAAGGAACTTGCATTTTGGCTGTGGTGCCAGTAATTTGAGCCCATCATTCGTCCCATCCAAGGATGGTCCAGGCCTGCTAAAGCTGGCAGGTAGCCATCTTCCAGCTTGCTACAAAAAGCCTGGATCCAAGATCAGGGCATGCAGCCGGGATTGCTGTTGAGCCACACATTTGGCTTGCTCTGATGTTATCCCGAGGTATGCCAAGGCTTCAGTGCTGACGAACCAACTCATCCGTGGACCAGCCTTCGAGTTGGAGGCCAGGAAGAGGTCTTGAGAAATGATCCGAGTGTAGCTTTCTTGTGGGCAATGAGGATCGGAAGAACTTTGTGTCGCTGTCTGATGCTTTGGCATGGGTGCGTGCCTGGATCTTGGATGCCATGATAGCAATCCGGTTTTCAACATGCTCGCTGCTGAGGTCAATGCCTTTAGTCCGCTGAATACGGGATGCAAAATCTATCCCTTCTAAACAATATCCAAAGAGATAAAATGAAAAAAGACTCAATCTAGAATGAGATAGGAATATGGAAACGCTACCTCGGCGGTTTATGTTAGATTCGAATACAGGGCTGTCCGGCACCTGCTCTTCGGCCAGCGTAGCCGAGCCACAGAGCCTTTCCCGGCACCTATAAACCTGGCCAGAAGTCCCTCAAACGTCAGAAAATTGGGAGCGTTTCTGCAGCGACCCGAAAGTTTTGGGGTCTGTATTGGCGGTGGAAACCAGTTCCGGCCCAAATTTCTCAGTTTTGGTGGCCTGACGCCAACAAAAGCCCAAATTGTTCTGCGAATAATGTGAGTTCTGGCTGCCGATATTTCGGGAAAACGGGTTAGATTGGGTTTTAGGAGTCGACACGAGAGTCGCACATCGAGAGCCGTGGAGAGTTGCGAGTTGCGCGTCATTTTTGAGTCAAAGGGCGAAAATAGAGAGTTAAGAGTGGGGTATTTGAGTTTAGAGTTTTGAGTTGACTTGAGCACGAAGTCGAGAGATAAGAGGCGCGAGTCACGAGTCGAGAATCACGATTAAGCAAATAGATGGGTGGCGCCAAAGTATTTAAAGCAAGCATACAATAGCACGCAGTGTTGTCTTTTTACCGTGAATGCGGTATTTGAGCACAGATTGAGCTTACTTGTATGCATTGTTTTAAGAATTGTTGTGGTCTGTGAAATCAAGTTTGTTGATCTACCGCTAAGCCACGAAACATATTTTATAATTAATTCGGTATAAGGGTAGATTGAAATCGCATCGTATCCCCTTGTGTATAGTCGTATGTGGCAAATGGGGAACGTTGTACGTAGGCGATCGAACTAATTATGTATTTCGTCGAAGTAGCGTGGTTAGTTGCATAGCTGGTTGTGGAATTTAAATGTTGATGAATAATGGGGAAATATATGGATTATTAATTGTTAGTTGGATAATAATTGAAATTCTAAATTTATTTGATATATAAATTATATTTTTATATTTATTGTTTATAATTATATTCGAATTAAAAATATATATATATATAGATGTTTTTATAAATATATTTTAACCAATATATTAAATTATTATATAAATATAGTATTTTAAAATAATATAAAAATTCTTAATTTATAATAATTACTATTATTTAAATTTAAAATTCATTTTATATTTTAGAATCTTTGATTTAATTTATCGATATTATTCGTATAATTTATCGATATTGTTCGTTTTATTTTTCCTCTTTTTTGGTATTTTATGTATTATTTTTCTTTTGTTTTTTATGATTTTGTTGAATTTCTTCTTTTTTAATTATTGTTTTTTTTTTAATGTTTATTTATTTATTTATATTATTTTATATTTAATTGTTATTTTCTCGTTGTTTTTATTATTTCTCGTTATTTTTCTTTTTCTCTCGTTCGTTTTCTCCTTATCTTTCTTTTTCTCTGTATTGTTGTAATATGTCCTCCCCTGAATTGTTTTTATATCGACATTGTCAATTTATGATTTTGAATTGTTATTTTATTACAAATTGTTTTTTTGATTTCTCTTTTATATCTTTGACATATTTTTTATTATATCTTGATTATGGTCCTTCCATATCTTTTAATTCCCTTTTTATATTTTTATGTTTTTCTTGATATATTTATTTTATTTGCCATATATATCTTGTTTTTGCGTTGCGAATTATTTCCTTATATTTCTCATTGTGCCGATTGGCTTCTTCGTGCTTTATTTCTCTTTTATTCCCCTTACATTGATTTTATTTTCATATCTATCCTTTCTATATCCTTTTCAATTTTCTTTTGTTTCCCTTTTATTTCCCATTATTTTCCTGCTATATCGATTGTGTATTTCCTCCCTTATTTCCTTATATTTCCTTGTATTTCCCCTTTGCTCCCAATATTTTGCTGCAAAAAACACGGTTTTTCTAGCGTTTTCGCAATTAAGACGTCCAAAAAAATATGTTTTGTTGTTAGTTGTTTTTTGTGTTTTCGCAATTAGGATATCCAAAAATATTATTTTTTACAGATTTTTAACAAAAGGAGATAGGAATCCCAAACCAGCAAAGAATCGGCTGGGGGAATCGAGCCTGGGACCCCCCCTGTTTTGCAACCCCGAAGATTACGTGTAGTGGAACGTTATCAAATTGTTATGCGGTCCGTAGGGAACCCGTGTAATAGACGTCGGATGGGGGGTTAGGAGGGAAGGTTATCCTCTATCCTCTCGTAGGTATCCGGCACGCCGAGTAATATCGGCGGATATAGAATATATATATAATATTATATTAAAATTTTATTATAATATTTTCCTATAAACCGGCACGGCCTCGAGGTCGCATTTCCCGTGCATCGGCAAGTTACAGCGGTATTCCGGCCGAATCGTAGTACTTGTGGCGAGCGACTACACTTGTCCCGGTCTTTTCTCCGTAACACAAGCTCCTACTTATTCGCGCGGCCCGGAAGACCCCGAAATTTCGGGGGGGTTCCTAACAATTTGGCTTAGAGTTCCCGCGGCATAATCCGTCCAAATTTTCCCGAATTTTGGATCGCTTCCGGCGACGCGGCTCTTAGGTTTCCGGACGTTACCCCCGCAAATTTCTTCAGATTTTCCGAAAAAATACCGGGCCAAATTTCGGGGTGGGTGTGGGTCAATATTCTGGTGTGGAACGTTCCGCGGTGACGCGGACGTCTGGAACGAGTCAGTTACATGAGGCTGGTTGTTCCAGACGTCTGGGAAGACATGTGTGGAGTCCTCGAGCACACGTGAGCGAGAGGCAAAACCTAAGACTACTTTGGGCGGGGGCTAAACTGGGAGGAAGAGAAAGCAGGAGGAGAAAGGACGAAGGGAAGAAGGATGGGGAGGAAGGATAAAGGAATCCAGAAGGTAAGGGAGCAAGGAAGGATGGGGCAAGGGAAAAAGGAGGGTGGAAGGGAAGGGAGGAAGAGGAAGGGAGGAAGAGGAAGGGAGGAAGAGAAAGGGAGGAAGAGGAAGGGAGGAAGAGGAAGGGAGGCAGGGCAGAAGAGGAAGGGAGGCAGGGCAGAAGAAGAAGGAAGGGAGCAAGGGAAGAAGGGAAGAAGGCAGGAAGGCAGGAAGGCAGGAAGGCAGGAAGGCAGGGAGGCAGGAAGGCAGGAAGGCAGGAAGGCAGGAAGGCAGGAAGGCAGAAAGGCAGGAAGGGTGTAGATGCTGCGCCTCCCCACAAGCTCCATGACATGCTTTTTGACGTTGGTTCCAGACCGCCCACAAGCATGGGAGGTGGAGCAGGGCTCACACGCTGACCACTACTGATTGATGGGCAAGCGGTGGCCCGCCTTTTGTGCTTTCCGGGTGTCATTGAGGTACCGTTTAGAGTATCGTTTAGATAGTCCTTCAAAACCAGAAAAAATTTGCCCATATTCTCTCAGTCCAGGGCATGTGCCAAAACCAGCTACACGTTGCGTGCGTGCGCCTCGCAGCCCGGACTGCTGTCCGGTGATTTGGTAGTTGCAAGCGAGACTTATAAACAACTTGCAGCACAGCAGCACCATGCGAGCACGAGGGGTGTGGTTTCGGTGTCGTTTTGGGTATCGTTTTGAGCAAGCAGTACTTCGGTGGCCCAAAATGCAGTTCATACTCCCCGAATGATCCGAAAAGGTGTTTTCGACGCTCCAAAATTACTTTTGGGTATGGTTTGGCGCGCCGATTGTGGCGCCTGCGGGTGCAAGCAAGAAGCATGAGCAGTAGGAAGGAGAGCAATCGGTGGCCCAGAATGCAGTTCACACCCCCCGAATGATCCGGACGCTCTAAAATTACTTTTGGGTATGGTTTGGCGTGCCGACTGTGGCGCCTGCGGGTGCAAGCAAGAAGCATGAGCAGTAGGAAGGAGAGCAATCGGTGGTCCAGAATGCAGTTCGTACTCCCCGAGTGATCCGAAAAGGTGTTTTCGACGCTCCAAAATTTCTTTTGGGTATGGTTTGGCATGCCGATTGTGGCGCCTGCGGGTGCAAGCAAGACATGAGCAGTAGGAAGGAGAGCAATCGGTGGCCCAGAATGCAGTTCTCACACCCCACGAATGATCCGAAAAGGTGTTTTCGACGCTCCAAAATTACTTTTGGGTATGGTTTGGCCGTTCCAGCAACCTTCAAATAGCAAGCCGGGAAACGCAGTTTTAAGTAACAAGCCGGGGAGTGTAGCTTTGGTTAAAAGCACCCAATAGGCGCATCTTAAGTGTCCAGTGGCTTGTGGGTATGGTTTTGCCTTCCGGCAACCACAAGAACAAGGCGTGCAATTCCGGAACCCAAAGACCTTGATAAGGTGATCGACGCATATTTTGACCGTGACTCATGAGCCAGCGTCTATTTGCTGTGTGGGCTGTGTTCATTCTACTTTAAACGAGTCCCCTATGGTTCTCCGCGTTTCGCGCGTGGGTGCAGTGCCCGAAGAACCCTCTGTTCGGGTCTCGCGAGCGCGCAAAGCGCCCAATGAACCCTCTGCGAGGATTGCGCGTGTCAAAGCGCCCTCCCTGCGACGCCGTGCGGATTTGAAAAGTGCCCGGCGAACCCCCTGCAGTGAGCAATTTCTGCGGCAGCACTCTTGGAGCTCGGGCTCTTCTCCAAAGCCTTCCGGATCACAGATCTGCTCGGGCGTCAGGCTTTCCCATCCTTCTGCAGCAGTAAATCTCTGAGGAGCAAGCGCAAGTCCGCCAAGGCGTCCGCGGCCTGGCCCGTTGCGGGCCCTTTGTGTGCGCGGAAGGATGTGCGCTGAAGGAGCTGCGTGTGTGGTTGAAAAAGCAAACGTACTAGGTAGGCCTCACATTGGCTGCTCCGGGACGTTCTCGGAGTATCGATGGGGTGTCGTTTTGGGTATCGTTCTGGGCGCGTGTAGTGTTACAAAAACCTTCTCTACCTTGCGGTAGTCATGTGATCAGCGGACTAGACTATGCTTCTGGCTCTGAAGCATTGGCGGTTTTGCTTGCTGGCTGCAACTTCCAGGTCGCAAGTCGCAACTTTCAATACTAGCGCAGTATG